TGTACTTTGTTGCTTGCACCGCTTTTCTGCAGCGTTGTTTCGATTCTATTCATTTTCCTTGTCAAATTATGTGTTGCTGATATAAACTGATGATGTTTTTCACGGATTTTTCCTGTTCCGTTATCTTTATTATCATAAATATTCTCACAAGAACTCGTTCGAATACTTTTGCCAAATTCACAGTTTGTTTTCAAGAAAGCCCAAGCTGCGTATGCTTAGCTTAGGCTTCCTCAACATATCGCTTATTTCACTTTTACTGTTCGCTATCGCAAAGCCACGATTTGTGCAAAGCGTGAGTGGTTTATCTTCTTGCTTCTGATGATCAGACAATTTTTCCATTCCGCCTGTGAGATTTCGTCTCGCGAAAAACACTGCAAACCTCGAGCCTGCTTGAGATTCCTAATGCTTTATGGTCTTTTCCGGCGGTATTAAGATTAGAGGCACTACGATGCTTGCTGTGCGTTGGCACAGTGTGATCTTCCAGGGGTTTGCAGCTTGCTGGGGCGCAACGTCTCGCGGAATGCGAGTATTCCATCGGAGAACGGGTGGAGGTTCTGTGTAGCAAATAGGCGTGCACGACGATTTCGGATCGTTCGATCCACCACAAGGGGTGAAGTGAATTTTGATATTTCGAAATTCGTTGCTTGCAAAATCTGCAGAATCATCTTGGGCTCATATCTAAAGCAAAAAGCTCGTTTACGGTGCAGTTTTCGATCATCGAACTAGCCAGCGAGTTCCGGCCGCATCCTCGTCTCTCAAGCTAGCGCGTCCTTGTCTCTCATATAGTAACATTAGCACAGTTGCGGATACAGGTCAGAGCGGAAGGCACATACTGAGAAATATGCCGAGTTGGATTCCGGCGTGTAGCTTTGTGCCTAGTACGGGGATAGTTAACAAATTCTTACCCGCGCAATTTGGGTGCTCCGGAGTTGTTGAACTATCAGGGCAAAAAATTATGCACATACACGTGCTTAAACACTTATACCTAAACATACGTATTTACATGCACTCACAAACATGCACACAAACACACATATACACACATGCACACGAACACACATATACACACAAACACGTACGCATACCCGCGCGCACTCAACGCATGCACACTCACACGCACAACACGCATGCACACGCACACATGCAAGCACAAACCGGCGCGCATAGAAGGACAGACCCACCACAAACGCGCATACGAACACTCCGTCAAACGCACATCCATTTACGTAAATGATTTGCACAAACGTACAGGGACGAAGCGGAGCGAGAGAGCCCGGGAAGGCATTGTTTGTTACGGGGAGGGGGTACCTATAAAAGAAGAGCCCGACCGCCAGGCTTTCATTGATTTTTTTTTTTGCCAGCAGCCGACCTAGCTGCCTTCACGTATCGATTGTTTAGTTCTTGACTAGCGCTCGGTCCCCCGTGGGCCACGCAAGTTTGAGCCGAGTAGACCGAGTTTTCCTGAACGACTTTGCAGCTTTGTGTCTTATATGCTCGCCTTGGAAGTGATCACTTCTGCGTTGGTCTATACTGACTTTTCTGTTCACGTGCTCGCTTCCACGTATTGCCATAACGATCTTCTTTCACGTACTGCCATAACGCTGGTGCAGACCAATCTTGCTGCCCTGTATAACTTAGTCTTTCGCTCTTCTCTCTAAATTCCGTGAGTGTAAATGACTGAGCAGCCAGTGTCCTCTGTGTGGGAACCCGGTAACTTGGACTCCCTTGCTGCGCACGCTGGCGCTCCTTACGCTCGAATGAGATGTACATTGTTGAAACTTGGCTGCAACTTGTTACTGCATATTCAAATTCAGATAGGGTTCGCCAACACTGCACGGCTTCGTTATTGTAGCTTTGCACCTCGTATGCCAGGTGTACGGGCAGCACTGCTGTTATAGGCTGTTCTTGGCGAGTTTTCCATTCTTGCTGTTACTTTACGTAAATGCAATGCAGCATAGCGACGGGGCCAATTTCTGTCCAGCTTATTTATTCGTTTCGATTGCAATTTGGTATTTCCATACGCCGGAGAGTCAAAAACCGCTATGAGTTTGCGTCTAAGCAACCATCGAGAGTTTTTGCAGTGGTGCCAAATGTTGTCCACATTATGCGGTCAGAAAATGCTTTTTTTCCAGGTTAAATAACTCAAATTTGGGTGACGAAGGCGCTCCGTTTGGAACGACGTACTCGATGAAGGCTGAAGGGGGCCTCATTATCCTGCTCGTAAGTTTTGCAACTAAATGCGCTAACTGTTTTTTTCAGTTTGTCCTTTCCGTCCACAGTATATTCTCTTCTTTACCGTCTTTTCTTCCTCTTTTTCCTCCCAGTTGTAGTCACTAACGAAAGCCAACGAGAGACGTTGGCTTGATGATGGCAATAATGAACCAAATTATGTTCATAATTTTTCGTCGTACTCTTATAAACAGCAGATAAGCTTTCAGTTAAATGAAGTTAGCTCAAATACCACTATGAGAACATGACAGTACGAAATTTATTTTGCAGGCTATTTTTTTCGTCTTGCAGACAACCTCTAGGCGTTGTGCATATAAGTAACCGGCACACTTGAGAGAATAAAGAGGTGATGTGATTGCATTTGACGAGGTGGCACACATTCATTATAACAGGCGATGAATTTTTACAGCAGGATTATTGAAGTTGGCGCGGTTTTTGCAGGTTCATCACTTTGAGGACACTGCTGATGCTGTGAAATTTGCAGCAATAGGCCTTCTGTTTGGAGATTATGGTAATTATTTCTTGACCAAGAATAGATATGTCTATCAGCTTCATCCAATTAAACACTGTCTGTCAACAGTATTGCTGCTAGCATCGGTACTTTGCATCATCGTTTTTTTCAATGCGTTATTTTTCAGGTGTACTTCCTTACTTCGTTCCTCGTGCTCTAGCAAAATCTATCATCCATCCTGTAAAGGTTTCTGATATATTATCATATAATATGTAGAATATGTGATGCACACTTATATAATATGTAATGTGGGCAAGTATGTCCCTATACTTTTAACATGTGCCAAATTATATAAAATAGTATTATATCCATCTTGTTACACTTTTAGATACTACCCTTATCCTAATTAAATTTGTGCATTTTCGGACTGGAAATCTTTATTCCAGCTACTCATAATTCCATAAAGGAAAAGTGAATTATAGTGATTTCACATAATTACATGCCCCTATACTTTTTTCGCTCTTAACATTGTTCACCCCAGGAACTACAAAATCCTTGAGACTGCAGAACAGAGCATTCCCCTGCGGTAAAAGACATTTCGTGACGAATCACCAGCCTACGGACCAGTTCACTTCCTCAAATTTGTCCTCCTCCGCAATTTGGATAGCATTATTTTAAAATCTCACGAGAATATTTTGTCTCCAAGTCGTCCTAAAGACGTTAAACTCAACTCTGATGCACATCTCTCTCTCTCTCTCTTACTTCTTTCCTTGCTTGTTTTCCCAGTGGGCATAAATGACTGAGTGGCCACTGTCTCCTCTGAAAGCTCCCTAGTAGCATCACTAACATCAAGCCTTCTCACTGACCGTCTGCGTTGCGCATACTGTAACTTATCACGCATTTCACATTGATAAGGTATTCTCGATTGTTTTTGCCTGAGTTGTTCAGGTCTTTTGGCACAACAGCGCTTTCACATTCAGCACAGCTTCACAACGCTTGCGTGACTGCTTCTTTACATCTCATATGCCTGGCTGGGGCAGTGCTGCTGTAGTAGACCAATCTCGACCATCTTTTCGCTCTGTCCTTGCGGTCGACTTGCGCGAGTGCTGCACGATTTGGCGCAGTCAGTTCTTCATAGTTTCATTTATTTGTTTCAGCTGTAAATTGTTATTAGCATATGCCGGGCAGTCAATACCGTCATCAGCTTTCTTCTAAGCGACCTTCGAATAAAGAAACCATCAACAGCCCTGTCAGTGCTTGGTTGCTATTTGCTAGGACATAGGCAATTTCTGTGCATCTCCGCTCCTCAGAGACAGTGAATGTAGTACAGTTTTTATGCGTTTTGCGCTGTGACCAGCAACACAAAGCGCACATTGTCACGCCGTTGTCTGTTTGTGTGTGTGCCCGAGTGCATTTTGTCCCGTACTTTCAGACTGGGAACCACAGAACTAGGAAGCTAAAATTTTAGTGGGATCTCCCTCGCCTACGTGCGACCCCACAAATTTAAATTCAGCTTTCACTTACCAGCGAGTACCACGTATGGCTCCGCAAAATTTTTTATGGGGAAAATTGTCATTTCGGGAGCCACGAAAGGCCACGAAGCTGAAATCTTAGGGTAATTCCCTCTGTTCATGTACGATGCCAGAAATTTAAACTTAGCCCCCCTCCCCCTCCCCCGTACTCTTGAGTACCATGTACAGCCCCATGAAAGTTTTCGGGGAAAATTGTTATCTCGGGAACCACAAAAGCTAGAAACCTGAAATTTCCCTAAACACGGTCCAAAACAAACCTTAATTCAGCATTCTCGTGCGCCTGGGTACTACGTGCAGCCTCATAAAAGTTTTGGCGGGAAAATTATTGCGCTGGAAACCATGAAAGCTAGGTGAAATTCCAGGGTAATCGCACCTGCTCACATACGATCCCGCAAGTCTAAATTCAGTCTTCCCGCACATCTGGTATTATATACGACCTCGTGAAAGTTTTGGCGGGAAAATTATTATCTCGAGAGCCAAAAGAGCTAGCGGGCTGAAAATTTCAAGAGGATGTTTTTTGCCTCTGCAGGTGCCTCAGAAGCTCAAATTTGGCTTTCAAATATGCCGAGGTTTCATGTACGGACACATAAAACTTTTAGTGCAAAAGTCGCTCGGAAGCTGGAAAACAGGAAGACTGAAATCTTGAGAAGATCTTCACCATCTAAATTTTCAAATTCAAAGTTCACGTACGCTTGCGTTCCATGCGCGGTACATGGAGTTTATAGTGGGAGATTTCGCAGCTTAGGAACGGGGCAAGATATCGATTATTTTTACAAAAACCAAGTTGAAAAATAGTGAAAATCCCTAGCAGTTGCGCAAAACACATAATCGCTCCAGCTACTTGGTATGCAGTGTGCTTTGACTTTGGATAGCGTCAGTAAATGTGGCATATGAAAATAGGTACATTAACGAGTAGCGCGTCGCACTCGGTGAGCAAGCAGAAGAGCTGCGGCAGGCACACGAAACAAAGGGGTGCAAAGTGGCCGAAAAGAAAAGCGTGAAGTCAAGAAGATAATTGCGCAGTGCGGCGAGCTGCATATCCAGCTTGCCGAAACTTATCTCATGGAAAGAAAAAAGAATTGATTAAGGTGATGAATTTGTATGCGTATTATCATCTAAAAATTAAAATTCGAAGAATCCTTACTGCAGACAAGGTATCTGGAGCTAGCTGCGATGATAGCACCTGATCAAAAAGCAACGTTTGCTGAAATGAATTTTTGGTAGCTCTGTCGAACAGCAAGTTGTTGAAGATTGCAATACTTTCTAACTTGCGGCAACATCATTTAGCCGTTGAAAAGAGTCGTAGAGGAACCGGGTTTTTCCAATCCAATTGAATATACACTCTACTTATCACTTGATTAAGCCCACCAACGGCAGTTCTTATCAATATATGCTCTTGTGTACATTCGTCTCTGTTGTTAACTACGTGAATGCTTCCTTCGCGCGCTGTATCTTAGGGTAACGCTCAGAAAGTTTCAGCACTCCAGCTGCTCTGGTTGCGGAGTTACGCCAAATTTCACGTGCGTGTACGAGAGACGTGGAAGTGATGTGTAATTTCGTTTTCGCGTCCATCTGGTCAAAGGCCACCGTCGATTGCGCCCAAAAAGTTCCAATCCTCTCGCTGCTTCGATTCTGAAGCTAAAAAAAGTGCATGCGCGAAATTTTCACGTGTCCGTACGCGAGATGCAGAAGGCTGGAAAACTCAATTTACTTTCACGGGCACAACAGTTTGCGACAAGTAAAGCTGCAAAATTGCAGCTCTCCGCAACTTTTTGGTCAGCTTAAATCTGGAGTTGGCATAGCGCCAGTTTAGACTTTGACGTGTGCATACGTAAGACCTATGGGTGCGTGAATGCTGAGTTTGAAATTTTTAAATTAGGCACCGGCAAGAAACACCTCTGTGAAGTATCAGTCTCCTTGCTTGCGACTTCCCCGAAAAAGCTTCCCCGTCAAAAAAACTCTTGTGCCCGCACGTGAGAACCACGTAGACTTGAGCATCCATTTTGAGGATAGGAGCCCGCACGCATGTATAGATTAAGTTACTAAAGTTTCAGCCCTGTAGCCTGTGTGAATCTCGAGATGAAAACTCACTACAGACGCACACACACATACACACAGGCACACACACAGACAACCCCTCGACAATATGCGTTTTTGCATTGTATAGATGCAAAAAACGCATAAATATTGCTGATCTATAATTCTACAAACGTTCAACTACCGTTTTATGGCTTTATAAGACAAAACACTGTAAAATCATTCGTTTGGTAGCTAATGCAATGGAACGCACTGTTCACACAAAAAAAATTACAAAAAATCAATTTTTTTGGATAACTGGTACGCCCCTTTGCTTTATTCATCAAACGAGTTAAGTAAAATAAATGGCCAACGCACGGGCTGCCCGTGCGAAGATGCGTTTTTTGCAGAGTTCCCCGC